TAATTTCTCAACAGAAACCATGGAGGCCAGACAGGAATGGCAAGAAATATTCAAGGTGATGAATAGTAAGAACCTACAGCCAAAGATAATCTACCCAGCAAAGCTATCACTCAGAATCGAAGGCCAGATAAAGAGCTTCACTAATAAAAAAAAAAGCTAAAGGAGTTCATCACCACCAAACCAGAATTATATGAATTGCTTAAGGGGGTTCTTTAGGAAGAGGAAAAGCTAAAGATAAAAATTATGAACAACAAATATGTAACTATCAACAAGTGAATCTAAAAACCAAGGAAATTAAAAAAAAAATCTGATGAACAATATTAACTGTTGAATATAATAGAATCAGAGGTATGGAAGGGGAATGAACTGACGATTCTTGGGGAAAAGGGGAGAGGGGGATGTGGGAAGAGACTGAACATAAACTGTGCACCTATGGATGAGGACAATGGAGGGTGGGGAAAGGGCAGAGGGTGGGACGGGACCTGGTGGAGGAGAGCAATGGAGGGGGGAGGGGAAAGAACATTTGTAATAATATGAACAATAAAAATTTATTTAAAAAAAACTGTCACAATTATCTATGTAGTAAATCCTATGGAATCTATAGGGGTGGGGAACTACTATAATTAACAAGTGGGTTTGGAAAGGCTACAAGATCAGTACGCTAAAATCAATGATATTTTCACATTCTAGCAGCAAATGATGGAACTTGAAATTGAAAGAAAAATACCATTTGAAATAGCACCTCATTCCAGACTAAGCAGAAGAAGCTGGTCTAGGGACAGATGGAAGATTTAGGAGAGAGAGGGATGGTCGCTGAGCCTGGAGCAAAGAAATCAAATGCTTTGCTAAATTTTCTGGACCAGCAGGACTGATGGAATATTCATCCTCTGAGACAGGAGAGATGGAGGCTCCACTGCAGGTTGTAATGGGAAAACTAATGACCTCAGTTTCCCACAATGACATGAGAGAGGAGGGAGTCTACTGGAATTACAGAAGAAGTGAAAGAAGTTGCTGCTGGGGCACCAGGTTGGGCTGTGGAGATGTGGGGAGATGGGGCTGCTGGGTAGGGAAGTCCTGTAAGCAGGTAGAAAAGCATGTCACCCACCAAAGGGTGGATGACCTTAGAGAAAACACATCAAGTGCCATTTGGTGCCAGAGAGCAGCAAAAGAGGAAGGGAGTGGCCAGTGGAAACCTGGACAGCCTTAGGCCTCTGCCCCACCCTGCTAACACCCTCCCAGGATCAGGCTCCACCTGACCTGGCTCTATGTTGGCGTAGAGATGTGGGGAAGTAACATCCCAGCCTCCCAAAACCTGTGGAGATGGAGGCCAACACACAGACGTGTGTCTCCCACCGTCACTGAAGAAGACTCCAAAGGTGACACTTTGGGGTGTGATTCACCAAAGGAGAGAGAAGTCAGACTGTTAGCCTGGGTGACAGTGCAGTGAGGATACCACCTGGGAGCCACCTAGACTCAGCCTAAACCTCTGAACACTAGCTTCATGAATATCACTCTCAGCACCAATTCATGCCCTGAGGATAGTAACAGTGTGTCTTGAGTGGTCTCAGGATCAAGTGAATTACCCAACACCAGTAAAGCAAACCCTCTGGGACTGTGGTCATCCTTTTACCAGCAAGAGAGGCCTCAGGAAGGCCAAGAGCTAAGGAGTGACTGAAGCTCCCTCCACCCATAGCAGAGCCCAGGGCACTGCCTACAGGTTAGGGACCTCACTGTGGCCCCAGAGTCCTGTCCCCTTTGCTGCCTCATTCCACATGGTATAATAGCAATGTGGACCCAGAAGTGGAACTTCCACAGGTGATCACTCAAACTAATGGCCCCATCCGGCCATCATAGCAAAACAGGACATTAGACAGAAAGCTAACACCGCAAGGCTAACATCTAGTAGTTCCCCACCTGCATAGATTCCGTAGGATTTATTACATAGACAATTGTGACAGTTTTATATCTTTCCTTCAATTCTGGATACCTTTCATTATTTTTTCTTGTTTTATTGCATTGGCCGGGAATGAAACTGTATATCTCCAGTGCACAGCCCTAGCTCAAGTGACTTTCTGTTGCATGATCTTCCATTCCCTGCTCCAGAAGGTGCAGCCGTAAGACCTCTGTATCTATGATTCTGAGAGCCCTTAGCAGAATAAGAGAACAGATTTCCATAAAGAAGTTGGGGAGGCAGGAACTGATGTGGGTCACCAGGGGCTGGAGGTGGGAAGCCCTTAGCTATGGAAAAGAAGGAAGTTAGGGATTAGGCAATTAGTGTCTGAAAGCCTGGAATCCCTCTCCCCAGTACAAGAAATACCACTACAAAATTCCACCTGGTACCTGCCATTAACACCACCACAGATTCTGAACTCAACACCTCAGATAGCAAACTGCCCCCACACCAGGTCCTCACCACCCCGGGCCCCAGCAGGGGCCACCCAGAGCTCCTGGGAACAAACCCTCTTTCCCCTCGGGGCTTATTTTGGAAAGAAAGCCGCTCACAGGGGCCTCTTCCCGTCTGCAGTGGTGCATACAGGACCTTTCCTCTCCTCAGGAGTCCACAAAGGGAATGGTTCGGTATCAGTTCTGAGGCCCTGGGTGTAGGTCAGGGAAACTCCCTCGGGATGACAGCAGAGGGCGCTGCCAGGAAGGACTTCACCTTCAGCAGCTTAGTTGAAAGGGAAGCTTAGTTGAGAGGGAAGTGGCCAGGACCAGGCAAGCAGGGGCACAAGCAGACATGGGGGGGGGGGGGGGGGGAGACGACGGGCTGTCTCTCTTTTCCAGTCAGAGAACAGAATTTCCAGCTGAATGTAAGGGAGTGGGGAAGAACCTCACCACCCCACTGTAGTGGACACTTCCCTTTCCTGCACCTGTGTTCCTCTCCACACCAGCCCCGGGATGGCCTCGCCATGCTCCTGGGCTTGCAGGAAATAGACCCAAGGGCTTCGACGGCTCCTAGAACATGGGGCGAAGGAAGAGCTTCCCTGGCCGGTGCTCTGGGGGGGGGGAGGGAGGGGGCTTGCTACGATGCGATGCGTGTCTTCAGGTAACTCTCCAGAACAGGGGGACTTCACCTGGGAGTGGCAGCATTCACCTTTCACTCCGTCTTCTCTCCCCCTTTCCCCCCCCACCACCACCACCACTACCACCTAGCACCACAGAAGGCAAGGCCCAGGAAAGAGAGGAGTGGCAGGGGGAGCCCAGGGGGCCGAGCAGGTGAGGGGCAGGACATAGGACTGCAGAGGCAAGACCTACCTGCTCCATTCCGGCGGGAGGGCCGCCCGTGTGTGGATCCACCCCTGTGTCTGGGCAGCCGAGCACCTGGGGAGCAGGGGTAGGAGCTCCCGTCCACTCCCACAGCCCGGGTCCACAGTAATTTGATAAGTGGGCGAAGTTTTCTCTGAGAGAGAGAGAGTGGCAGTCCAGAGGACAATCTAGCTCCCTCCCGCCTGCCCACCCATCTCATTCCAGAATCCTTCTCTGTCCCTCAGTGGGTGGGGTCGGGGACGGGGCCTTGGTTGACTCAGAGGAGGGGTGTAGGGAGGAGCATGTGTAGACAAAACTGGATCCCAAAGCTGGTGAAGGGGAAAGAGCTTTCCTGGAAACGCAAAGGCTTTGCTCCCCTGTGGGAAAGGGCTCCTGAGGCCGGTGCCAGGTGCCCCAGGGCTCCCTCTGCGGGTGACCTGGCAGCCCGCTGGGCGGGACACCTGCCTCTGGGTCTCCAGCCAGGGCTCAGTCTGAAGGGACATCCAGCCGCTCCTGAACCGGGCCCTCTCTGCGGGACCCCTCTCTGGGGCCGGCACATCCTGCAGACCACGCTGTACAGTGTGACCCCACTCAGAGGCTGTCTGAGCAGCGGCCAAAGGAAAGGCGGCATCTCCTCAGGGCCCCGGCTTAGGATCTCCAGGTGCAGTCCTGCTCCCCTCCCCACAGGCCCCAAACAACTACACCAATCCCGCTCTGCTCCCCTCACAGCATGATTGAAACTGACCAGTCTCCCATGGGCTCAAGCATCTCACCTGTTATTACCATGTGCACCAGGGAAAACTGGCGTGAGCGGTGACCTCTCCCCTCCCCTCCCCAAGTAACAGCTCCTGTGTCTCCTGAGCCACAGATGAATATGCAGACAGCCACTCCGCGGTCTGAGAGCTGGGGAGCTGGGGAGCCACTCCCTGAGATCTTGGACCAGTCACTTACCCTTTCTGGTCCTCCCTCCCCCGACAGCAGAACCGTGAGGCTTACCTCCGTCGTCAGAAATCCCTTCTGGGCCCCGTCGGACCCGGCGATGCGAGGTCCCAGAGCTCAGGGCGCCGCTGCTGCTGCGCGCGCCACCCCTAAATGCCAGGAGGTCCCGCGTCCTCCTTCCTGGTGGGTGTGGGGAGGAAATGGGGGCGTCACCGCCTGCTTCCCAATCTTAACCTTCAGGTACGTGGTTGCACCCCGGACGCCCACCCAGCCGCTGGCCCAGGGCCGGCCGTTCCCAGACCAGCCCATCTCCGTCGGCGGCTGAGCTGCTCTGGCAGCCTGGCTCCCAGCGGACCGGCGAGGCGCGGCTGGTAGGGCCGGCCTGGGAAGAACTGGCAAAGAGATGGGTGGAAGGGAGCGGCCGCGGCCACCATGCTGGCAGGGGACAGCGCGCGAGACACAGCAGGAGCGAACGCAGGACAGCGAGTCCCGCGGGCAGCGCAGGGCGCGCAGGGCTCCGAACGCCAGGCGGGGCCCCGGGAGCTCGGAGAGGAAGATTGCCGACCGCGCCGTCCAGGTGGGTCGGCAGACGCTCGTTCACTCCCCGTCACCCCCCACCTCCACCCCCGCATCTGACAGCAATTCCTGAACTCTGGGTGCCTCCAGCGCACCCCGCGCATCCCGCGGCCGCGGGAGGGGCCAGCGCCTCCTTAGCGCCAGTTCCCAGAGCCCCGCCCGCCCCCAGCCCGGCCCTCCCGCCCCGCCCCGGCCAGGGCCCCGGCGGGCGCCCCCCGCGGCGCTGCCCCGCCCCCGCCGTCCCGCGCCGCCTTGGGCCGGGGCCCGCCGCCCCGCCGCCGGCCCACCTGGCGCAGCGCCGCCCTCGGAGCCCGCACACCCGCGAGCGCCCGCGCCCCGCACACCCTGCGGCCGCAGGAGGACCCGGCGCCGCCGCCCGCCAGCTCCCCGGGCCCCGGCCCGCCCGGCGCCCGTGCTCCGCCCGCCCGCGATGGCCCCGCTCGGGCTCCTCTTATTCCTCTGCGGCGTGAAGCAGGCGCTGGGCAGCTACCCGATCTGGTGGTGAGTGAGCGTCCCCGCGCCCGCCGCGGCCTCCGTGCGCCCCGGCCGCCACCCCGCGGGCAGGGCCCCCGCGGCCCGGAGCCCACGCCCTGTCCCTCGGATCCCGCGGGCCGCGGGCACCGGGCTGCCTCCCCGGGCGGCCTCCGATGACCTGCTGGGGTCAGGGCTGGGATGCGGGTGGCGGAGCTTCCGGGGACATTGATCCCCGGGTGGAGAGGAGCCCCGGCGGGAGGCGAGGCGAACGGTGGGCTGGAGCGAGGCGGGAAAGGGGTCCGCACAGATGTCACCAACGTCCGGGCAGCCCGGGTCCGAAGGAAGCGGGGAGGCGAGCTGGGAGGGAGAAATTCGCCAGAGATTTCTCCTAAGGACCATCTCTCTCTCTCTCTCTCTCTCTCTCTCTCTCTCTCTCTCTCTCTCTCTCTCTCTCTCTCTCTCTCTCACACACACACACACACACACACACACACACACACACACACCTTAAAACAAAGTCGTTGAGACAAGACCGAACAGCTCGGGCAGCGCAGTTACGTAAAGACAGCGGCGGGGACTGGCCAGGAGCGGCGGCGCGGTGGGGCCGGTGCCAGGCGCGCCAGGCCGCCCTCCGCTTCCCGGCGAGGGTGTCCCGGGGGCCCTGCCTGCGAGCCGCCCGCCCGGGCTCCCCTGCCCGGAGGAGCGACGGAGGTACAGAGGGAGCGAGCATCGAGCCTGAGGTTTCCTGAGGGAGAGAACCCACCTCGGAGGAGGCTGGGGCTCTCCGTCCTCTGCCCCGGACGCGGGGACCGCGTGAGACCAACCTAAAGCTGGTCGTGGACGTGCGGACGGACCGAGGGAAGGGTCCTGAGAGCTCACGGCACACATGGGGGTGGACGCCCAGGGTCACTCTCCCTCCTGGCATCCGATTAGGCTGTGCCTTCGCCGCCGGGGTCGCCCCGAGCCCCCCGCGGGGAGGAGAGCGGGCGCCGGGGCCGGGCGCGCCGCTGGAAGGGACCCAGGGCTGGAGAGAAGCCGCCCCACACACTTGCGCGCTCCGCACACACCCTCCCGGGAACCCTCTCCGACGGCTTGCCTGGAATTATAATAATTACGCCGAGGGGAAGGGGGAGACCTAGCGAGCCCAAGTACATCTAATCCGATAATAATTTTTCTCTTCGAGAGTGTTCGGGAGCGGGGGCGCCCGGGGTGGGAGCTGCGGTCCGGGCGCAGCCAGGCGGGGCGGAGCGGGAGGTGGATGGGGGGGGTCCGGGGCCTGGGATGGGCGCTGGAGCGGCGGGGTGCGCCTGGGAGACCCCCGCGCACTCCGCACCCGCGTGGCACCTGCAGCCCTGGTGCCCCCACCTCCCACCCCCGAGCGCGGGCCGCGGCGAGGTGCCTCGGACGCGGGGACACTGACGCTCGCCCGCCGGCCGCGGGGGGAGCCCGGGAGCGCGTCCAGAGGGCCCGCGGCCGCCCGCTCCCTCGCCGGCTTCTAATTAGAACCGCCGCCGCATTCCTGGGCGCGGGAGGAAGCGCCTGCACCTCGCGCTCCTCGTAAAGAAGGGCCCTGTCACCGCCTCTGCCCGCCCCGCGCGGTGAGCGCTTCGTCCTGTCCAGCCCGCGGGCCCCGAGCCTAGCCCCGCACAGCACACGTGTGCCGCTCCTTCACCTGGGCCAGGTGCGTCCCGTCCACACGGACCCCAACCTCGCCTTCTGCAAATCAACGCACCCGGGCCTCTCCCCCAGGAGCTACCCCTGGGCATCCACCCAGGCAAGAGTGCAGGGCAGCCTGTGGCCCCTGAGGGTAGGGGTGGCATGGAACCCCACTTCATTTGCACACTCAGTGATTCTCTGTTTTCCTGAGAAGTGTATCGGGTGGACACAGCCTCAGGGCTCCGGGGACCACCCATCCCCCTCCTCCTCTCTGTCCCCAGACCAGCTGGATACAGGAGGGGTGCTGTCTCCCCACAGGGCACGCAGGCAGAACGGAGAACGGAGAGGGCTCATGGAAAGATGGGGGTCACAGCAGGAAAAGCCTCTGCCTTCAGCCCCACCTGTCCCGAGTTCCCACAGGTGGCTCCTCCCTTCTCCTGCCCGCCACCCACAAGGGGGCCTGAGGGACCCCCTTTATAGCTTCTCACCTTCACGCCCAGCCTCCCTAATTGGCGGTTCTGTTTCACCCTTCCTGCCCAAAAGGAAGTTACTGTCCCATGCCTTCTCCCCACCCCAGCGGCTCACATATAAAAGTGAAAGTGATGGGGACTTCCTCACCTGAGAAACGGCCAGGAAACAGCCCAAGTCAGGAGTAATTAGGCTTTTGAAGTTGGTGTGGCTCTTGGGGGAGGGGGAGGGAGAGGAGAGGAGCAGCCGCAGCCTTGGGGGGCCTGGAGGGCACAGGCTCCCAGGACCATCTCAGCTGTTCAATGCCGGAGGCCCAAGGTCCAAAGGTGAAATGGTCCTGAGACCAGAAGCTGAGAGCTGGCGCCTGCGGGAGCATGTGCTCCTGTGACGGGTGAAGGTGGGAGCCCGGAGAAGGGAGGGGCCTGGGCACCTGACACCCTCGGCCAGTGCTCCCGCCCCTCCCCAGGCTGCGTTCCTAAAGAACCAGGGTTAAGTGGAGGCCCCCTGGGAACACAGAGCCCTGTAGAGAGCCCCCTCCCGTGGGCAAGGTGAGCCCTGTTGTGCTTTGGCCGCCTTCCTTCCACGTTCCACCCCCCAGGAGCATAGCCAGGGCCCTGGAGACCATCTTCTGCCTCCATCCTCACCCTCCTGCCCTGCAGGCCAATCCCACACCTTGCTTCTCAGAGCTACTGCCCTGATGTCACCTGCACAGACAGCCTGCCCCCACTTTCCCTGTAGGGACCCCCTTCCAGCTGCCTGTCCCCTCACTAGCCCCTGCTGGACTGCAGGCTCCCCAGCACAGAGGCCATGCCCCGGAGCAGATGGCCCCAGCCGAGCAGTGCAGTGTGGCTGAAGCCAGCCTTCTCCCACTCTTCGGCCAGCACAGAGGCTGGGATGTGCTCCCTGCCTCTCCCTCCTCCCCGGCCTCTCATCTCCCTCCAGCTCCTCTGGCCCCCAAGGAAGGTCCTCACCTGCCCTCACCTCTGAAACCTCCTCTGTGTGGCCCTCCCTCATTCTGGCCCCACAGGCTCCTGGCACACAGGGTCTTCTCGTTCTGAGAGTGAGGCACAGGCCTCCCTCAGTGGGCCCGCTGTTCGTGGGGTGACTGTGCGTGTTGAGTTCAGGAGCAGGTGAAGGAGAGCTGTGGAGGCATGGCCCAGGACCCTCAGCCTCACAGCATCGGCAAAGAGGAGGAGGGGGTTGGGAGGAGAGGAGGAGGGCTGAGCAAGACTCAGGCTTCTTAGGCAGGCAGGGCCCAGCGGGCAAGGTTCTGGAACTGCCCTGCCTATGAGAGCTGCATCCGATGTGCCTCCCAGGGTGGCCCTGCCCCCTGTCTCTCTCCAAATCCTTCCTTTTTCTCTCCGCCCCCCCTCCTCTGTCTGCCTCTGCACCCCTGAGGCTGGTGATAGTGGTGGCTAGCTTATAAAGCTAGAGAAGTCCCGGCACCAGCTGACACCCCCAGTGGTGCAGGACCCTGGGGCACTAGGAGCAGTTCTGCACAGAACCACCAACAGGCATCCTTGTCCTGAGGGGCGAGGTCAGAAATGGCCACGGCCAGAATCTGTGTGGCCAGAGCACTGGTTCATACAACCAAGTCAGCTCTCCCTCATCTCGACCCCTCACAAACCCACTGGCGCCTGACCCTCTGACTTGGCCACCCAAGCACTCGGGCCTCTATCTGGGGCCTGGGTGTGGCAGCTGCTCCCAGATTGGCTGCCCTCCTTTTTGCTGGGCTTGTTATCAATTTTTATGAAGTGGTTTTCTGTTTTATTTGCATAAACTTGCTAGAATCCTTTGTGGCAGAAGAACAGGAGGGATACATAGAGGAGGGGCAGTCTCAGACAGGCTGCAGATTACACTCTGCATGGCGGGTACCCTGTGCCGGTCTCCAGCCTCAGGATGGAAGCGCCTGGTCCTGCCCCCAGGTGTGGCCCAGGACAGACAAGCAGGGCCAGGAGGTACCGCCTGTCCAGGGAGGTGCTGGTTATACGGAGAGGGCGGTCCCCAGGTTGTCCATGAAGAAATGAGAACAGAAATTAAAAATACGTATGAGGGGCCCTAGCCGGTTTGACTCAGTGGAGAAAGCCCGCCTGCCTATGGCCTACGGACTGAAAGCTCCCGGGTTCGATTCTGGTCAGGGGCACATGCCAGGCTTGCGGGCTCAATCCCCAATAGGGGGCGTGCAGGAGGCACCCAATCAATGATTCTCTCTCATCATTGATGTTTCTCTCTTCCTCTCCCTTCCCCTCTCTCTAAAAATCAATAAAAACATTTTTTAAATACGTGTGTGGAGCCGCCGGTGTGGCTGAGCCTCTCCACCCATGAGCTAGGAGGTCACAGTTTGATTCCCCTCAGGGCACACGCCTGGGTTTCAGGCTCAGTCCCCAGTAGGGGGCATGCAGGAGGCAGCTGATGATCATTGAGTTTTCTATCTCTCTCTCCTCCCTTCCTTTCTCTGAAATCAATAAAAAACATTTTTTTTAATGTGCCTGGGTCCTGGCAGTGCCTGCACTGCCGTGTTTCCAGATATTTTATAATGGTCTAGGAGTTTAAAAAGAAAACTCAAAATGCAAGCTGTTCTCTAGCGAGTTTGAAAAGCGTCTGTCTGCCTGGAGCCCGGCATCCGCAGCCCACTGACAAACGCCCTTCGCTTCACCACCCAGCACTGCATTTGGACTTTTGAACCAAATGTGAGGCCTTGTAGTTGCACTGTTGAAGGGTGGTTGGAGGACTAAGAAGCGTCTGGAGCCCACACTCTGTGCGGGGCCTGAGAGGTGGGGGCCAGAAGCTGCAGGGCGCCGGGAGGTGGATTTTGGCTCCGAGTGGGAAAGGCTCCCTGACTCAGGGCTGGTGCTGGGAGGCGGTGGGCTGCCCATCCCTGGAGGCGTGGGAAGGGACCGCAA